CGTGTGAGTTTTTTCATTACCCTTGTTATTATCTGAATAACCTTAGTGTTTGAATTTTTTGTCCTTTTCCTGATATTTATCCGGTTATTATTTACCTTATTTTATCCGGATTAGCTAAGTGCCTTGTTTTCCCCTGATTCTCCAAGGACTTACCAGGACATAAGTCGTTTCATTAGTTTTTATTGTTGTTTTTAGTTATTTCTCTACTTGGAGAGCTTTAAATTTGAGCCTATTTTTCTCTGGTTTATGTGGATAAATTTAAAATCTACCCAATGAAATAGCACATGTTGACCCGTGCTAAACAATCAGATTTGTGTTCTTCTTGGTAAAGAGGGGGAGGGGGAGCTAAGCGCACTGATCAGGGGCAGATTAAGAACGACACAAGTTTATTGCACGTGGAGAGAGCCTTTCCCGCTTCGCATCTAATTCACATTTAAATGAGATGCAAACCATTTGCTCAACCAATTTCGAGGCTTTGGTCTAATTACAAAGCATTAGCTAAAGTTCTTAGTGCCAAGTGAACTACGGTATATGTATGAAGCCTGAAGAACCTCGAGATGTCCATACAGTATTACATATAAAGCAGCTTATACTTTGGTCCATCTCTCTTCTTTGTTGTTGAGATGTCTGGGAAAAGAAAGAAATAATGTAATGACATATTGGAAGCCGATGAAAAGGATCAAACGAAGCCTCCTGAAATAGAGACAGAGTTAATATGATTAGACTACCCTATCGAAAGCTGTGAATGGCTAGTGACAGTGAAATTAAACAATGCCGTCTACGTACAGAGGGAGTTTTGTGGCCGTGAATTTATGTTTGTAGTATATGTATGTATGTTTATTCGTAGAACAGTTAATCTAATTTCCTGAATGTTTTTATTTATGCTGATACTTTTTTCCTTCTCTGGAATGTGTCAACTGCAGAAACATATTAAAGTGAATTGTAGACATTTTCATTTACTAGATACCTTTGTAAGTTGTAAAGAATTTCTTTGCGTATTGTGTTTAAGAAAGCAAACTATTCATTTTCAGTAACATCTTAATAGACGAATGTTCATCCAACAAGAAGCGAAATTATCTGTTTGCAATATTGAAGTAATCATAATGTTTTTGATTATTTGTGCCAGTGATAAACCCAGTTTGATAAGCAATATAACATTGGCCCAACCTAACAAATATTTAAGAAAACAATGTGTTGAATCCTTGAAATACAATGAACCCGAACAACAACCATACAATACGCACAGAATAAAATTGTCTGAGTTTTTGTATTGGATTACTAAACTAATTTCCTCGATCATAATTATTACAAACATTTGTCATTAAATTATAACGGTGCTAGCTGGAGTATCTGTCCGTTGGACGGGTGAAATAAAAATGTGTTTGTAACAAAGGATAGGAAATTGTGCTTATATATTTTCTTCTTAACATAATAAACATTAAAAGTGCAATAAAATACATTAAGGTACCAATACTGAAAATAAAGGCATACTGTTTTCAAGAATTATAACAATAGTGGTTACATAGTTCATTCTAATGCTGAGGGGTATAGAACGTTGGTAGTTTTTCCGAAATTAGATATGAAATTAGAGAGGGAATTCAAACTCCCCATGACCTTTCTCATGTCACCCTGTGTCAAGTTTAGGCTGATTGATCAAGAAATCTAGAAACGTATGAAGAACAGACACATACACATATTGACGTTTATTCATATAGATTTATAACTGATTTCTTTCCAGCTTTCATTTAGTTTTTATATTTTAAATTCCTTTGCTTTCGCTTTATTCCAATTGTAAACGCTGATTCGAAGATTTCGTTAGATATTTAAAAGGCTTTTCATAATAAAGCATAGAACATATCTTTGTATGTGACGCCCGATGAGAACATTGAGGAACTTCGGAGCTCTTCTTCGATCGCAAGTGACATAAGACTTGTCTTTTCTCGTGTATACCCGAATATGCAATTTCTGAAGGGTATTATTTATTTTATTTCACCCCTATGCATCATGTACATTACAGGCTCTGAAATGTGAACGTAACATGTGTTTCAGTGAAACCCCTGTCTCATACTCCATAACAAAGACAAATTTCATTGATAGGCGAACATTCTTTTTAAATTTATTCATACCCCTACATTTTTCTTGGAGCTATCACGAAAGTATGGAAATACCGTCCAATTAACGCCCTTCCTGAAATTACCACCTTAAAATAAGTTATTTTTTGTTGTCTTTTTTTTTTACCAGAAACTAATGCCTGGTAGTATTATAATGTTTTTCTTACAAGTGCCTGAAGCAACCCATGCGTAGACTTTATCGACACACAAACTTCTATGTATACATCAGTTCTGATGAAATCGATAAACACTTTTGCTAAGTAATTCATTTTGGTGAGTCGATGTTTATATTGTTTAACCATTCCTTATAAGCACCAAGTACGTTTTTTATGCTAGTGAAGTAGAACCCAAGTTTTTACAGTTGACACAAGAGAGCGATATAAAGTTGATTTTTAACTTCACATTATATAATCTTAGAAAGTGTCCTTTCCCACACACATTTCATATTTTAAATACACCAAAATGCTTGAAACGTTAAAATAGTGTACGAGATTATGACAAAGCCTCTGTCTTAGTCGTGTGATATAATTTACCTTATACTGGCTGTATATATTTATGTACGAATCTTTCGTAAATATTGCCATAGTTTCATTAAAAAAACAAAGTTTCAGCACAAAATCTGTATTACTTATAGCACCATAAGACATATATATATTAATTATAATATGTTGGAGTTATTTGTTTCACTGTTGATAAATGCAAAGCTACACAATGGGCTATCTGTGCTCTGCCCACTGCGGGTATCAAAACCTACGTTTAGCGTTATAAACCTTCACACGTACCACTGAGCCACTGAGGGGGGGGGGAGGTATTAATTATATAATACAGATTTAGCCACAAGACGTCATAGTTTTTTTTTCAGATTTCAAAAACTTAAGAGAAGTTATTCTTCAAACATCACTCGCTAGTATGTGAATGAGAAATATATTTTTTTATAATTTATGATAAACACATAAGCACAAGTTAATTACGACTCTAGACTGCAGGTATATGAGTAAAATGTTTCTTGAAATATTTGAGGTATGGTCAGGAAGGTGTAACAGGTTTAATATATGTAGACCACTGCACGTATTTATTTCTTTATATATCACAGAAATATCCAGTATGTGTTTAATAAGGTTTACTTTTTTGATGAATAAGATAAAAAAGTATTTCAGTGCAAGCAAACATCTTCTCAAATTAAATTTTGGCCGCACCCCCTGAAATCACTAACTGAAATACTTTTTGTATTACTCTTATCGTTCTTTTTTATATTCTGTGCTTACTTTAATGAAATAAATTACTCTCTTATTCATACAAATGCTAGTCGTAAGCATTGCCGGTCTTATTTGCTTTCTTACTTCTGCCATCCTTAGTGTAATTTGAAAACCCGAAACAAAGACTAATCAAATTATCTGACACTTGTTAGTAAATTTAGAATAATTAAATCCTTTCTTACTAATGGAATAGCTTAATAAAAATAAGAAAAGTTCATAAAAGACAGTAATTAAATTCTGGAGAAAAAGTTTTTTTTTTTTTAATTATGCACAAAGCTACACAAGGGCTATTTGTGCTTTGCCCACCACGGGTATCGAAACCCGGTTTCTAGCGTTGTAAGTCCGCAGACATACCGCTGAGCCACTGGGGGGGGGGGGCGGAGAAAAAGTATCGTAATATTTGGTGCACCAGAAACTCTCTTTCTTTTACTTTTATTTTTTAGAATTTTTGCGCAAAGCTACACAATGGCTATCTGCGCCACCATTCTTAATTATAAACTGATAGACTAGAGGGGAGGCATCTAGTCTACAGCACCCACCGCCAACATTTGGGCTATTCTAATCGAATAGTTGGATTTGACCACCACTCTTATAACGTACCCATTAATCACCAGTTGGATACTCTCGCTGCTAATGATACTATCGGCCATAATCCCATGAGATTCAACAAACTGAGGTGATATAGACTAGTTGTAAGTTCATACACTAAACCTGATTTTCCTAAACTGTGGGACACGCCCCCCCCTCCCGAGTTTTTCCGGAAGTTAAGTGAAATTTAACTATTAATGAAGGAAATATTTTACTACTAACGAAATGAATTATTTCTACCTTATATTTTTCGCACACCTTTATTTGTATGTTTGTCTTACATATAATGAGATGGTGTGTCTCAAACCCACCTTTCTTATTATGTAAAATTTATCTATATTGGTTTAATTAGGCCTTTACTTCATGTTCCCGATCAACACAAGTTTATCTTCGTTTCGTTTTCTCTCAGGACTGAAATATAAGCCTAGTGATTGAACAACTTGTTAGAACTTCATTGTTTATTCACAATTTACATAAAGAAGGCTAGTCAAAGCTCTTTTACACTACTCATTTGCCGTGTTTATTAAGATGTTATTGCGGGAATCTCTTTGATATTTACAGAAACATAATTATTTACAAACTTAAATATTCTAACCAAATTTTATCGGAAAATCATGAATTATTTTAGTTTATTATAGAAACAAACACTTAGGAAAACTCAAAATCTGCTCTCTTTTTTTGTTTTTGTTGTGAATTATATTTACACTTTTTATATACAATGGAAAACGTTATTTAGGAATTAGTTTTCGCTTTACATTAGGACCGATGGATACTGGTAAATCAAGTTTCTTGTATCGTAAAAGAGATTTGATGTATTTTTTTTTGTTTTTGTATTGCTTAGCTGACTTCATGTCATTTTTGTCTATAATTACCTTTTCCTTTATAACACAGTTTCTTGATGAAAAAGAAGATGGTTTAAATTGCATTACCAGTGGTATGATGAGATAAGAACTACCTCGTCACAAGGTGGCACTACAGTCAGACCTTTTTGACGGTAACTAGTGGTTTATTGTGCAAGCGCAGCAGACGCTAGAGTGCCGCCGTGTGTAAAGCCGTGTGCGATCTGCAGCATGTGACTGTACACTTCCTGAAACCTGTATACGGTTATGTGAACGCCAGTTTGTACTGGATTAACTTAAAGTTTGGTTTCAGCAGCCATCCATGGCCGACCCCCGGACTATCGTGGAAGGTTCTGTCAAGTATCGGGACGGCAGAAAGGTAAACATCTCTACTTTGTAAGGTGTGTTTCAGTTTGTTGAGTTTTGTTCTTGGTCCTGGGTATCAGCTGCTTATGTTTTTCTTTTGTTCCAGTGGAAGCCACGGTGGTGTGTCCTGTCCAAGCTGTCTCCAGTCGCAGGTGTGTGACGTAATTCTATGGCTTTATATTGTATCGCATAATAATTTGGTCTACAAGTTATACAATAAATTAGAAATTGCATGTGTGCCTGGAGTTATTTAAAACATATCACAATCTCACTGTCAAGCATTCTAGGTTTTATTATGATTCTCAAAAGGGTTAGAAGCATATATGTGAGAGAGATAACTTCCAACGCAAAGTAAAAATGAATAACTTAGTTTTCTGTTCGCCATCTTTAAAACTAAGCGAGTTCGTAAACTGCTGTTTGCATTTCAATGTAGTTTTCTATGCGATGAAACAGAGTTGATAGAATATATATATATATATATACTTGTGTAGTGCCAAACCTGTTAAGGATTTTTATGAAAGTGATGTGTTTGGTAGTGTTACATTGCATGTGAAGTTTGAATAAGTACTACTTTCTGTTCTACTATGAATTAAGTATATTTCATATATAACTGCAGGAGACTTCATGGTCATTGAACTTCACTGTTAATGTTTTCTTACGACATTATTTATAGACTAAGATATGTAGAGTTGTCAGGAATTTTCTGTTATATGGATAAAACTGAAGTTATTGAATTCTGTAAATATTTCAAACTGTAGTTTCAATTAAGTTAGATTGGTAAGAAATAACAAAGTAATTTCTCTTATTTACGGTCAGTACCTACTAAAAACATGTCTCCTTATGGGTTTTACGGCCAGTACCTACCAAAAACACGTCTCCTTGTGGGTTTTACGGTCAGTACCTACCAAAAACACGTCTCCTTGTGGGTTTTACGGTCAGTACCTACCAAAAACATGTCTCCTTGTGGGTTTTACGGCCAGTACCTACCAAAAACACGTCTCCTTGTGGGTTTTACGGCCAGTATCTACCAAAAACACGTCTCCTTGTGGGTTTTACGGTCAGTACCTACCAAAAACACGTCTCCTTGTGGGTTTTACGGTCAGTATCTACCAAAAACATGTCTCATTGTGGGTTTTACGGTCAGTATCTACCAAAAACATGTTTCCTTGTGTGTTTTACTATCAGCACCTTCCAAAAACTGCATCTGTGTATGTTTTACAGTCAACACTTACCGTAAACATGTCTCCTTGTGTGTTTTACGATATCTACCTACCAATACAATTATCTCTTTGTGTATTACAGTTAGTAATAACCAATATATGTCCGTTTGTGTCTTTATGGTTGGTACCTGCCAAGAACGTAATGCTTTCATGCGTGTTCTACAGACGTTATTAACCAACAAAATGACGCATTTATGTTGTGTGGTCGATTTAAATTTTTGCTTCTTACTTTTCTCTAGTATAGTATTTAGCGATGCTGAAAGATCCACACCCTAAACATTTAATATCAGATCCAAACTTTGTTAAATTTTTACATGGAGAACGTTTGAGAATTATCACAATGCTTTCTCGTCTCCCAGAGTGTCAGCGGTAAGTTACGGACTTACAATGCTAAAATTCTAGGTTCTATTCCTCGTGGTAGACACAATGCAGATAGCCTATTGTGTAGCTTTGCGCTAAAACAAACAGACAAACAAAAGTATCATAACGCCATTCTTTGTACTTTTTGTTGATTTTTAACGCAAAAATATACAATGACGTATCTGTGCTATGTCCACCGCGTGGAATCGAATCCCAGATTTGAGAGTTGTAAGTCCGTGAGACTCCGATAAACAGACGTAGTTGTGATCTGTTAACTTTGTAATTGATATTTTAGAAATTAAGGATATTCTTTACATGAAAGTCATTACCTATAAAAACTGATGTGGAAATTTCAAGTGAAGAAGAAAATATATGTTTTAAACTCTGAAGTACACGACTTACTTATCTTCATAGTCAATAATCTATAGTTAGGTAAGTTCGATCATAGGTAGTGCTGATTGGTGTAGGTTAAGGTTAACAAAAGGAAAGTATATAGAGAGAGAGATGCTGTTATAATTCTTTCCTTTAAGTACACAACGAAAACCGAAAACAATACCAGAGAAAAATGTTGATATATATATATATAAGAAAATAACTCATTGAAAAATTAGATATTCGAAATAATAACCAGCTTTTATCACAGAGCGTGCTATTTCTACAGAAACAAAAATAACATTTTTATTGAAAAGTAGAAGAAAGGTTTACTGAATAGATGACTCGTAACTCGCACTGTCTTGTGAGTGATGAATATAAACACATACGATATCTTTCGTGCTGTCTCCGTTTGCAATATCTGCAAACGTTCTGTGTCTCAGGAACTGTTAGGCTTAGGACTCGATAAGGAGGCTTTGCATTACCTATTATATTGTATTGTACACCAGAGACTCAAATTCTATCATCCTTACCGATATCAGAAGAAACATTACAGGCATAAAACTTCTGGTTGATAATATAATGATAAAATTGAATGGTTGAGGTTACCTTATCATCTCCGTTACGACCAAGTGTCTCGAATATTGTGATTCAAAAGCTCACACTAAACCCCGATCCTACAGTTGGTGCCACGAGACCACTTTGGGTGTAAACAATACCTACAAACGTTGTATTGCATTTGTTGTTTTCTTTGTTAGAACGTCGTATTGTATTTGTTGTTTTCTTTGTTAGTATTATACCTAATTTGTTTTTCTTTTTTTACTTTCAATTCATCTTCATTTTCGTTTATATTATGGATGTGTTTCTCAAGTTTTGAAACGGCAATTTAGAACACAGTTTTTGATCTCAAAGACCACAGCGTGCTCATTACAAAAATCTACTATATTATATTGATTCCTTTAGTGCTATTCATCTGCAAATGTCTGAAAAAAACTACAGCTTCTCTAAGGCATCTGAAAATAAATCTCATACCAGAACGTTTCTCTTCTTAAGCGAAGTTTCCTGAGTTGGTAAAAGTGAAAGACAATAGAATGTACGTTGATTTTTTAATTGTTTAAACAAAAGTCTTGTATGATAAAAGGCTTCAATATAACAGTATAATTCTAATTAACAACCTAAGAAATAAACAATATCTGCACTTAAAGAGCTAAAGAAACATAAATATATCTTAATAATCAAAGCAGATAAAAACAGCACAGTTATAATCATAGAAAGAGCCAAATACAACACAGTTATGTTTGACATACTAAATGGTGAAATGAAATGTAAAAAAATACCAAACATTTCAAGCAGAACATATGAAAATAACTGAAAATTTTTCTTTAAAGAAATTACAAATCCCTAAAGAAGTTACAATAACACTCAAAAACAAGGATACTAGAGCACCCATCATCCATCTCTGCATATACCTCAATCAAATATAACCCAGACAAATATTTCTCTTAGCCGTTGTCAGATTTGATAAACATATATATATATCTTCCATGTAATTTTTAATATTTTCTTAAACAGCGATCTCTGAAGCGATTAATATATTGATAATAAACAAATCAAAACCACAAACAGATCTTAATTTGAAAGAGCTGATTGATCTTATTTGATTTTGCAGTATTCAACTGTTTTGAATTCCAAGGACAATCTTGCATCCAAAATTTTAACTTAGCATGAGAAGTTTTCTATCACCCATCCTAGCCAACTTGTTTATTATTATTATAAAAACAAAACAAACACTCTTATCCCCCATGCATTGTGCCGAGACACTTTCATGACCACAATGAATAAAAGGATATTAAGCGCATTAACGCTATCCGTCCTAACATCAAATTCACAACTGAAGAGGAAAAAGAAGCAATACTAAACTTCCTATATTTAAATATCACACGACTTCACAACACATTCAACATAAAAATACAATAATGAAGACTATATAAATTAATCTATCAATTTGACTGTGCAAATCGTGAATCTATCTGTACATATATACATGTATACATAAATATTGGTGAAACTAATAAAAATCTAAAACAAGGTTAAATTTAAAAGGAAATAACGTGTAAATTAATGCATAAAAACTTAACCATAAAAAAATTAAGAAACCATAAAGATATTGAGTAAAGAACTAAAACGAACATGAAAGAAAAACTATTAATAAAAACCATAAATCTAGCATAAATATTTATAGATGTCCCCTTTTTCTTTATTTAACATGTAACTTCTGTTTAAACAATTTAAAGCCAACGTACGTTCTGTTCTAGTTCTGTTTTAACAAAGAAGTGAAACGTCTTAGTATAGGATTTCTTCTGAGCTGCCCGAAAGAATCAGAAGTTTTCCGTATATAATCTGTAGATTAATTCCGGTACTGTTGACCGAGTCCCTTACTATATCATCAAATAAGCTAAAACCTAAAACGCTAAAAGGACAAAATCAGACTGCTATTGGTTTTATGTGTATATGTTTTCGAGGTATATATAAAGATCAAATATATCTATGTAAGTGGAATTATTCGTCTGATGATCATCTTAGCTGATATTAGGCTTCTTAGCAATACAGAAGTTTAATGTAAAAAATTACATTTTGACATGCGTATTTTATAACTTTAATGGATTTATTTGTTTGTTTGAAGTTAAGCACGAAGCTACACAATGGGCTACCTATGCTATGCCCACCATGGGTATCGAAACCCGGTTTCTAGCGTTGTAAGTCTACAGACATACCGCTGTGCCACTGGGGGCAAAATTTAATGGATGTTGTTATATAAAATACTCATCTGGTAGTTGTATCAGCTTACATTAGATTCCTTAACAATACGCTAATCATACGTAAAAACACGTTTTTACGTACATATTTTAGTTGTTTTATTTGGGATATTTCATGACGTGGCCTTAGGTTTCGGTGATACATACAGAACATTGAACACTTCGTTTATATAAGATTTTAATAAATATTTTATTAATATTCACTAAGGTTGTCATAATGTACTATATTTAAATAAATCAAAAGATATTAGATCATTAAGTTAGTATCGTTCACATTGTCACTGAGAACAATATATTTCACCAGATTTTTTCTGGTATTTTGTCTCCAAAATTTTGTCATCGAGAGTATTTATATCTTCGTCGTAATCAATTTTAAATATGATA